CAGTAGACGAAGGGAGACTAAGAACCTGGCGAAGCACAGAGTCAGGCGGTGGCTGAGACGACGGAGACGGTGGAGCAAAGAACAGGCGCGGCTGTGCAGTGCCACCAGCACCAGCAGCTCCAGCACCCCCAGCAGCTCCAGCACCTCCAGAAGCTCCAGAAACCTCAGCACCAGCTCTTCCAAGACCAGCTCCACCAGCAGCAGCACCCCCAGAACCTGCACCCCCAGTCCCAGGTTATCCAACCGTAGTGTCTCCAGCAGCAGCACCTGCAGGCTCAGCACCTCCAGCCCCAGCAGCTCCAGTACCCCCAGTACGAGCACCGCCGGGACCAGCACCACTCCCAGCTCCAGTGACGGCAGCAGAAGTACCTCCAGGAGCAGAGCCCCTAGCTCCAGAAGCGCGACCCTGACGGCGACCGTACCAGTCGTGCAGCTGCTGCGAGGTGAGAGGCACACGCGGACGAAGGCGGCTACTCCAAGGAGACCGCGCAACAGCAGACTCAGAACCCTCAGCGCCAGCACCCCCAACAGCTCCAGAACCTCCAGTGCCAGCACCCTCAGCGCCAGCACCCTCAACAGCTCTAGCGTCACCAGCACCAGGACCTCCAGCAGCTCCAGAACCTCCAGCGCTCGCACCCTCAGCAGCCCCAGAACCACCAGCTCCAGCGCCACCAGCACCAGGACCTCCAGCAGCTCCAGAACCTCCAGCGCCCGCACCCTCAGCAGCCGCAGAGCCTCCAGTAGAAACAGCCACAGGAGCAGAGTCACCAGCTCCAGCGCCTCCCGCAGGAGGGCCCCTAGCTCCAGCAGCGCGACCCTGACGGCCAAGGTACCACTCAAGCAGCTGCACCGAGGAGAGAGGTAGTCGACGACGAGAGGGCAGCAGTGAGGCACCAGCGGAGCGACTACGGAGACGGCCGCTCCAGGGAGACTGCTCACCAGACGCCTCAGCACCCCCAGGCGCAACACCCCCAGACTCAGAACTGCCAGACTCAGCACCCCCAGACCCCTCACACGCAGGCTCAGCACCTCCAGGCTCCACACCCTCAAGCTCCGCACCCCCAGGCTCAGTACCTCCAAGCTCAGCACCCCCAGGCTCCGCACCCCCAGGCTCAGCACCCCCAGAAGTAGCACCCCGAGCAGGACCACCCCCAGCAGGACCTGAGTCACCAGTGACCTCGACCGGCGCAGGTAAGGGAGGAGGGTCTACCTGAGACACACCTGAAGGAGCAGGACCGGGAGCGGGGAGGGGGTCTACCTGGGGAGCACCTGGAGCAAGGAAGAGCGGCGGGGGGGGGAGAGGGGCAGTGCGGTAGGGGAAGAGACGGTAAAAGGGAACCGACTCATCGAACGTGACGTCCTGAGACGCAAAGACACGGCGCGAGGTGGGGTGGTAAAACTGCCAACCAGGCGCGTCAGGGACAAAGCCAAGGAAGACACAGGGAACAGCACGGGCGGAGAGCTTGTCCGCGGTGGTATCGCGGACAAAGGCACAAGCACCCCAGACCCGGAAACGCGACGCATCGCCAACCTTCCCCGTCCACAGCAGCGTGGGCGAGGTCTCCGGCAAGGAGACACGGGGCCAGAGGTTGAGCTGATGCGCGGCGTACCGGACCGCAAACGGCCACAGAAAATGGGGGGCAGCCGCATGGATCATGGAGGTACGAGCGACCTCCATGACTAAACCAATGCGGCGCTCAGCAACCCCATTCTGCTACGGAGAGGCCGGAAGCGTGAACGTCTGACGGATGCCGTGCTCCGCACAGAAGGCTGCCAAGAGGTCTGAGGAGAACTCACCACCTCTGTCAGAGTGCAGACGTAGGACAGGAAACTCCGTCCCCAACCGCTCGCGGAGCTGGAGACGGGCAGCGCGGATCCAAGGGATCAAAACATCAGGGACCTCCCCCTTGCTGCGCAAGGGGAAGACCGTGGTGTAACGCGTGTAGTCGTCGACAACCAGCAGGAAGTACCGCTCGTGGCCCTGTCCACGGACGCGGGCTGGGCCCCACACGTCCAGGTGGAGAGTCTGCAGGGGAGCCTCTGTGGGAGGGAACGAGGAGGAGTGAGGAGCGACGCGCTGCCGCCCCTCGACGCAAGGAATGCAGGGCGGCGCAAGCGAGGGAGGGAGGGCAGGCAAAGACCTGGGAAGACCAGAAACCAGGGAGCGAGAGTGCATGCCACGAAGGCGCTGCACCGAGGGGTGACCAAGGCGGTGGTGCCACAGGAGGGTCTGGTGCGACAAAGCGCGACACTTGCAGGGGGCCGCCAGCTGACCAGACGCAGACGCAAACGCAGACGCAGCTACCTGAGGGGACTCAGTGGTCAGGGTGTACAGACTCGAGCCAGGCGCACGGGAAAACGTGGCCAGGTGTCGGCCCGTCCGAGCACACGTACAGTGAGTCACTCGCTGACTCGCAGGAGTGAACTGGTGAACCCCCCTATCCTGGAGGTCAGCTCCACTCACCAAGTTCGTAGAGAACGAGGGGAGGTAAAGACCTGACAGCGAGCCAGACGGGACGGCCGGACACGGCAGAACCGTGGAGTAGTGGGCAAGGACTGGACCCCCGGAGGGGTCCGCCAGGGAGACTGGAACCGGCCGACTAAGCGGCGTGAGTGTGGTGCAGTCACGAAAGAAGGAGCGGGAAGCTCCTGAGTCAAGGGTGAAGGTGTGCAAGACCGCAGCAGGCGCAGTACCAGAGAGAGTAGACGCACCAGCACCTGGAGCAGCAGCCCCACCAGCACCTAGAGCAGGAGACGTACTAGCACCCAGAGCAGCAGCCTCACCAGCACCTAGAGTAGGAGACGCACGAGCACCTAGAGCAGCAGCCTCACCAGTACCGAGAGCAGCAGGCGCTATACCAGGGTCAGGCGGTACGCACAGGTAACAGGCACGGTCAACACTAGTAGGCAATGCATACATGGCAGTGAGAATAGCATCATAGTCAAGAGCAAAGATATCTACCCCCTGTCCAAGCAGCTCCAGCCAGGTGGGGAGCTCAGCCTCGTCGCCAAACACTGTACGCCAGGCGTCGCTCAGACGGGCGAAGCAGCGGGACTCTGTGTGACTAAGCGTCCCGCAAGGCTGACCAGTCCTATCACCTGTGCGAATGACGTACGGGCAGCGAACTGTACTCAAAGACCCGCGACTCTGAGCGTACCACTCATGGAGCTGCTGGGACGTAAGTGTCTCGGGGGGACGCCGCTGCAGCTGCAGCTGGCCACAGCCAGACGCTCCCAACTGACCAGCTCCAGGGCGACAGCTACGACGGCTACCGCGACAGCCCCAACTAGTATACCACTCACTAAGCTGCTGGGGCGTGAGAGACTCGCGTGAACGTCGCTGGAGCTGCATCTGGCCACCTGCTAATAGCAGTAGTAGTAGCAGCAGCTCGGGCAAGGCACGCGCGGCAGGCAGGCAGGCAGGCCGGCAGGCAGGCAGGCAGGTAGGCCGGCAGGCAAGCAGGCAGGCAGGCGGGCAGGCAGGCAGGCAGGCCGGCAGGTAGGCAGGCAGGCAGGCGGGCAGGCAGGCAGGCAGGCAGGCAGGTAGGCAGGCAGGCAGGCAGGCAGGCAGGCAGGCAGGCAGGCAGGCAGGCAGGCCGGCAGGCAGGCAGGCAGGTGCTCACCAAAGGCTGGAAGGGCAGGCGCTCGCCAGGCGAGCAGGGCCGGCGCTCGGCGGGCGGCGGCCGGGTAGGCGCACGACGGCGGCGACGGCGGGGCCGCAACAGCGGCTGCAGAGTAGGGCCGCGGCAGCTGCAGGGCGGGGCCGCTTCAGCGGCAGTCGCAGGGTGGGGCCGCGTCAGCGGCAGGTCGGGGCCGCGGCAGCTGCAGGGCGGGGCCGCATCAGCGGCAGGTCGGGGCCGTGGCAGCTGCAGGGCGGGGCCGTATCAGCGGCAGGTCGGGGCCGAGGCAGCTGCAGGGCTGGGCCGCGTCAGTGGCAGGTCGGGGCCGCTTCTGCGGCCGGGCGGGTCTGCGCGAGCGGTGCGCGGGGCAGCAGCAGGCCGCGCGCGGGCTGCGCGGGCTCGGGGCGGGCTGCGGGAGGCAGCAGTGGGCTGCGCGCGGCTCGGCGCGGGCTGTGCGGGTTGCGCGGGCTCAGCACGGGCTGCGCGGGGCAGCGCGCGGGGCTGCTACGGGACGCGCGCGGGCCGCGTGAGGCAGTAGCGGGCTGCACGCGGCGCGGCGCGGGCTGCGCTGGCTCGGTGCGGGCTGCACGCGGCAGCAGCGGGCTGCGCGCGGCTCGGCGCGGGCTGCGCGGGCTCGGCGCGGGCTGCGCGCGGCAGCAGCGGGCTGCGCGCGGCTCGGCGCGGGCTGTGCGGGCTCGGGGCGGGCTACGCGCGGCTGCAGCGGACTGCGCGCGACTCGGCACGGGCTGCGCAGGGCGACGCGCGTGCAGGAAGGTGCGCGCGGGCTGGAAGGGCGACACGCGCGGGACAACAGTAAACAGGAGGCGTGACAGTCATAGGCTCATTCGTGGGGTGGCGGTAGGTGGGCCCGAAAAAAAAAAACGGTCCTACGGACCTACTGCTCTGAAACCATGTTAGAAACTAGAGACAGGAATGACTTGAATTGAAACAGAGTTGGGTACATATCCTAACCCTAACATTGGGTTGTACCCTTTATGGGCTACCCCACTACAGCCTACACAAGTATATAACATATACAGTTTGACAAGGTCATTTGGCACCTCTCTGGCCACCTGCAGCGGAAGATTCGCCAGCACGTGGCGACAGCGAAATAGTGGGCGGGGGGGAATCTCGGCAGATTTGATGTGAAAGAACCGGGAAATTTCATCGAGCGAGGGATTTTCGCGATATACTCCCGTACTTGCAGCTATAATATAGAAATCGTAAGAAAAGGGGGGTGTTATAAAAAATCATCCAAAAAGGGGGGTATAGTGAAATCGAGGTCGCCCATAGCACCCACCCCGCACAAGCTACCCGGGGGTGCTCTATCATGGGGGGGTGTTTTGTCCGGGAGAATACGGTACAATAGTACATGGCAGGTCACTTCCTTATGGGTTGAACTGCAAGCACCGTTCTCACAGAGTGCCCATTACCATCGACCAATGTTACGCTTCCAAACTGGAAGCTCTCAAACGTATTGATCACTTTAAAGGTCACCATGAATGTTACTCTTTTACCGGGAGCAATTGTAAATTTGTTGGGTGAAACTGTGACGGAGACTCCACTAGGAGGCTTTATGATAGCTGTATATGTGGACGAGGAATCAGCAACGTTTGTAACCGTCCTGTTGGTTGTCGCCGTCCCTTTCAGCTGGGAGACTGAGATGCTTGGGCGGTTCAAGTCGCGAGGAGCAATTGCCGTAAGCCTAGCTCCTGGGAAGTGCTTCTGTGCTTGCTTCATACTCTGCCCGGCTAGAAAATTCCGATAAGCAGCTGCCTGGGCGTCGTACGTGAGCCCAGGATTTAGCACCTTGGATGGGAACACATGGCCAGACCCCATCTCCCACGGGGTAGCAGCCTCACCATACCCATTATCGATGGCAGCACCACTGGTGTCTGTGGTCGTGGCGGTGGTCATAATGGCCGACATGACCTGAGCGGGGCTCCACGAGGGGTGCTTCTGCATGATGAGAGCAGCGATGCCCGCCAAGTGAGGCGCTGACATCGACGTCCCCGACAGCTGTGCATAGCTCCCGGGCTTCCCCACCTTCTCAGCGGGCCAAGCAGCGTAGAGATCCACGCCCGGTCCGACGATGTCGGGCTTTAAGATGCTGTTGGTGGGGAGAGTGGCGGTGGCGTTAGTGGAAGGGTCCCTGAGGGGTCCGGTGGCGGAGAAATCGGCAACGGCAGGGTAGGCCGTGGCTGCTGGGGTCGCTGAGGCGGATGATGCGTTGCTGCGAGCTGCATCTGCCGGTGTAGCGGCCTTGAGGTTTATACCGCCTCGACCAATGGTGCTGCAGGGAGGAGGAAGGAAGTGCGAGGGAAGGGAAGAGAAAGAGGAGAGGGAGCAGAGAAAAGGAGAATTCCTGGGAAGGAAAGGGGAATTTTATTGGTGGACGAGTACTGGAACAAGCAGGGGTGGTGGCAAGGAATGTTGAGCAAGGGGGGGTAGAGAGCTGCCTAATTGGCACACCAGGAGCAAACTCCAATGCAAATACCTGCTCATCCGCTCAGGGGTGGTAAGGGGGAAAGGAGGGAGAAAGAGGCTCACCTTGCCCCCACTGTGAGGTAGAACGGGGAGAAGTTCTCAATCGTGCGGTAAACCGCTTGGGTCATAGCCCGGCGCGCCACCGTTGCCCGCTGCGAATGCCACGAGCACCCCCGCGAGGTTGGCAGCGAGGTAGGGCATGTGGGAGAAGTAGGTCTGTGTGGCATCCACCCCGCCCAGCGACAGCGAGAGCACGTCCACGCCGTCCGCCACAGCCTGGTTGACTGCCGCCTCCACGTCCGCCTGCACGCCGAAGAAGGCGCCCTGCGCGTACCACAGTACCTTGTACCCTGCCACGCGTACCACAGCACCTTGTACCCTGCCACGCGTGCTGCCCGCGCCATGCCGCTCGCCCTGCCGCCCGCCATGGGCACGTCCCTGTTGCCCGCTGCTGCGCTGCGGAGGAGACGGGGGAAGGGAGGGAGGAAGCTTTAGGATTTGCAGCTCACAAGCTTCAGTGGGGAGGGGAGGCAGCTTCTCAAGGCGTTAACCAGCGAATGTCCAGCGTTTAAGCATCTCAAAACCCAGGCGGAGCCCATGCGTAGCAGAAAGAGAAGAGAGAAGGAGATGAGTGGGACGAGGAGGGGGGGGAGTGGGGGAGATGGCGACGTGAGAGAAGTAGACAGGGGCTGACGCATCGGGCTTCGGCTTGAACGAAGCATGGCGCCTCGTAGTGGGGAGGCAGTTTGAAGATGCGTCCGTAGGATACCGGTGTTGATCGATTTAAAACCCACTTGAAGCTCCACGCACATGCCCTGCACACCACGCACATACCCTGCACACCACGCACATGCCCTGCACACCACGCACATACCCTGCACACCACGCACATGCCCTGCACACCACGCACATACCCTGCACACCACGCACATACCCTGCACACCACGCACATACCCTGCACACCACGCACATGCCCTGCACACCACGCACATGCCCTGCACACCACGCACATACCCTGCACACCACGCACATACCCTGCACACCACGCACATACCCTGCACACCACGCACATGCCCTGCACACCACGCACATACCCTGCACACCACGCACATACCCTGCACACCACGCACATACCCTGCACACCACGCACATACCCTGCACAACACGTACCCTGCACACCACGTACCCTGCACACCACGTACCCTGCACACCATGTGCCGTGGCCGAACGAATCGCGAGGCGACAGCCAGTCTTTCGACAAGTCCGGCCCACCAGTGTCCTCCTTAAAGCCCTTGTAGAAACCCCGCGCGCCAATCACCTTGTTGTTGCACTTGAACTCGCTCGTCGTGTCGCACTTGCCCGACCAGCCAGCAGGACGCGAGGACGGGAAGCCGGCATGGGTGAAGGAGGGGTGTTCCGGCCAGACGCCCGAGTCCACCACGCCCACCACCATGCCCTCGCCCGCGCTCGCCTGCCCGCCATTGGCGGGCCACAGCGACCCGGGGGCGCGCATGGCGAGGAAGGTGGGCGAGTCGATGGTGAGCGGCGTCACTCTGCGGCTGCGCGTCACTGCCGCCACTGCCGGGTGCCGCTGCAGCCGCCGCACCTGCTGCGTGGTGAGGGTGGCTGCGAACCCGTTGCTCGCGTGCATGTAGCTGGGGGAGGGGGAAGAGTGGAGGTGAAGGGGTGGGGAGGAGATGGAGGAAGGGATGGGAGGGACGGGTTTGGGTGCGGTATGAGGACAAGATTGAGCATCCAAGTTGTGGGCTTTTTAAAGGTCACTGGGGTTAGTAGGGTGACTTTGGCCCCAAGAATTGGCAACAGTGGTAGACGTGGGGAGTCATGGAATGGGCCCCACAGTCCACTGCGCCCAAGCTCCTGTAACGGGGCGCTCAAACACGCGAGTTGATGCTTCCAGCCCTACTCGTCACACTCTCACCCCACGTACTTGTACACGATGCGGTCTGACGTCACGCCCACGTCAGACGCGATTTGCATCTGCTGCGACTCCAGCATCTGCGCGTAGGCCTTGAGTTGCGGGTTCTCCATGGTCAGCCGCGCGCGCCGCGGAATTCTGCCGGCCAGCGTCGCCGCCTCGTGCGCAATGGTCGCCACCGTCGCACGCAGACCAGACGGACCAGCAGATTCGTCGTCATCGTCGTCCACCCATCCCGGGAAGCTCGTTATTCCGCCCCGATACGCGGCGAGGGGAAGGGCGGAGCGCAGACGCACGATATAGAGTGACGTGGACTTGGGGGTTGGCGCTGCGGTCGGTCGGCGCAGGATGGAGGGAGAGAGGAGCGACGGATGGAGGGAGAGAGGAGCGACGGATGAGATGAAGCGAGATGGGAACTAGGGGGTGGGACGAGGATGATTGCCTCGGAAGATTATTATTGCGAGCAGTTGAATCGGATCTAGTTCAAGAGATCAATTCAGGCAGGAGCAAGGACGGTGTGACGTGGCTTACTACGGTTGGCTCGTCGAATGGCGAGGCATTGACACGTGAATAAAAGGAGAAGCGCGATTTCGAGGAGGGATCTCCCTCTGGCCGTCATTTTTGGATCAAGTGGGAGTGCGGGCGTGAGGCTAGAGCCTTGGGAGAGGCGGAGCCGCTGCTAGTGGTACTAAATGTTAACCAGGCAGGTTTCAACTTTCGAAGCTAGGTTGGATGGCGAGTGCGTGAACAGCCACATTTGCGTGAAATACTCGAAGCAGATCACGGAAAAACTGGCGTGCCGCTTTTGAAGTAGGCGAGCGCGAGACCCAAACCGTGAACGCAGCACAACAGGGTATCCAATAATTGTGTGCCGAGCGATAAAACCCCCGAAAGCAGCCGAGTTGCGCCGGCACGCTTGAATCTCGCCAATTCTTGGCGACGGACATTTTACTGAGACGAAGCTTCGTTGTTACCCTCAATACCATCCACAGAGCTTCGCAACCCGGCGTGGCGAGGCGCGTATCTGCTGGAAGAGGGTTGACCTGAATTTGGCAGTGCATCGCGATTGATTTCTCAGGACGAGATACTGCAGTACTGAGAAGTTCGTTACTGTACAATTATTTGCGTTGCAGGTTAGCTGTGACTGATCCAACAATATGTTTGTTCATTGGTCTCCTCACGGCCTGTTTTTGAAGTAGATCATATGCAGCCTGTTCCAACTGTATGATAGTTTAACAAAGGGTTGAGAGGGCAGCGGGGTCTTCACTATCTGTGAACTTTTACTGTTTATTCTTTACACCAATGTTACGGTATACTGCATGGAACTTGAACGGCATGGAAGTGATGCGCTCCCACATTTTCGGTGAACAAGAATCTCTCCGCACGAGCTTGGGCGCCCTAAATTTCGCCACAGATTGCAAGAGAGGCGGAGCAACAGTGATGATAGCAAGCAGCAGAGCAAGCGAGGTTGAGCGTGACGATGAAGCAGGTGGGCGGGGGAGTGGGTGATGGGGTCAGAGGCTGCGGTAATCGATGACCGTGACCTCGTCATCCGGTGCATCCAAGTCGCGATAGCTGCACACACGGGGGGGTGGGGCAGAGAGGAGAGAGAGGGACACGCACTGTTTGCAGCAGCGTGACTGGCATGGCATGGTTCAAGCTGCAGACGACGGCCACACACGAGTTATCAACCATACATCCACACCACCATACCTCCATGCACACATGCCACCATACCTCCATGCACACATGCCACCATACCTCCATGCACACATGTCACCGTACCTGCGCACGCCACCATACCTGCGCACGCCACCATACCTGCGCACGCTACCATACCTGCGCGTGCCACCATACCTGCGCATGCCACCATACCTGCGCATGCCACCGTACCTGCGCATGCCACCGTACCTGCGCATGCCACCGTACCTGCGCATGCCACCGTACCTGCGCATGCCACCGTACCTGCGCATGCCACCGTACCTGCGCATGCCGCGGGGGTCATGAGGAGGCCCGCCCATCATCGGCATCATTCCCATCGGCCCCATGCCCATGCCCATCCCCATCCCGCCCATGCCCATGCCCATGCTTCTCATCCCCATGCCCATCCCCCCAAACCTCCCCGGGCTGCCATACGGCCCCTCCCGTCCCCCTCTTGCCCTCCCCCCTCCCCCGTCCCTCCCTCCTGCCCCTCCTCTCCCACGTGCTGCCTCCCCTCGCGCCCCTCCCCCGGCCCCCGAGGGGGGAGGGGGGGAGCGCCCCTCCTCTCCGCCAGGAGCAGGGCCCGCGGGCCCGGAGGCGGGGGGGAGTGGGGCGTCAGGGGGCAGGTCGAGGGGCGGCCCGTCGAAGGGCGGCGGGGGTGGTGGGCCGTCGAAGCCGTCGAAGAGGGATGGCGGCGGGCGGAAGGAGGGGTCCCTCAGTATGCGCGCTGCCACGTCTGGCGGGGCTGGCAGGAATGGACCTAGGGGGCTGTGGGCCAGAGGTACAGGGGTGAGTGGTTCAGAGAGAGGCGGCGGGGGAGAGGGAAATGGGGGAAAGGGGAGAGGGAAATGGGGGAAAGGGGAGAGGGAAATGGGGGAAAGGGGAGAGGGAAATGGGGGAAAGGGGAGAGGGAAATGGGGGAAAGGGGAGAGGGAGAAAATGGGGGAAAGGGGAGAGGGAAATGGGGGAAAGGGGAGAGGAAATGGGGGAAAGGGGAGAGGGAAATGGGGGAAAGGGGAGAGGGAAATGGGGGAAAGGGGAGAGGGAAATGGGGGAAAGGGGAGAGGGAAATGGGGGAAAGGGGAGAGGGAAATGGGGGAAAGGGGAAGGGGAGGGGGAAAGGGGAGGGAAATGGGGGAAAGGGGAGAGGGAAATGGGGGAAAGGGGAGAGGGAAATGGGGGAAAGGGGAGAGGGAAATGGGGGAAAGGGGAGAGGGAAATGGGGGAAAGGGGAGAGGGAAATGGGGGAAAGGGGAGAGGGAAATGGGGGAAAGGGGAGAGGGAAATGGGGGAAAGGGGAGAGGGAAATGGGGGAAAGGGGAGAGGGAAATGGGGGAAAGGGGAGAGGGAAATGGGGGAAAGGGGAGAGGGAAATGGGGGAAAGGGGAGAGGGAAATGGGGGAAAGGGGAGAGGGAAATGGGGGAAAGGGGAGAGGGAAATGGGGGAAAGGGGAGAGGGAAATGGGGGAAAGGGGAGAGGGAAATGGGGGAAAGGGGAGAGGGAAATGGGGGAAAGGGGAGAGGGAAATGGGGAAAGGGGAGAGGGAAATGGGGGAAAGGGGAGAGGGAAATGGGGGAAAGGGGAGAGGGAAATGGGGGAAAGGGGAGAGGGAGGGGAAAAATGGGGGAAAGGGGAGAGGGAAATGGGGGAAAGGGGGAGAGGGGAAATGGGGGAGAATGGAAGGAGGAAATGACAGAGGAAGTTGAAGGTGAGGAGAAAGAAAAGGTCGGTGACAGCGTTACTGCAATATGAGTGCGCTGTTGCTACAGCCCGTTCAACACGCAACAACCTTTGCTGGACCCAACCACTCCCACCCACAAACTGCTTGGTCCCTCCACTCCACACGACTATCCCTTGGCCCCCCACCACTCTCCCATCGCCACTCACCCAGCACCAGGCACGGGGATGAGCACGGGCGGCAGCGGCCCACCAAACGGCCCCCCTGGCCCGCCTGGCGGGCCTCGTCCCATGTGCGGCGGCATGGGCGGCCCAAAGGGCGGCAGGGGGGGCGGCGGGCCGTCAAACACGTCAACACGGGCGGCCCGTCCAGAGGCCCGCCCGGGCCGCCCATGAGCATGGGCGGGGGGGGTCCGTCCATGGGCGGCCCCCTCTCGTCAAACATCCCCCCGCCTGCCCCCGGCCCCATGAACTCCCCTCCCCCGCCCCCATCAAACCTCTCCATCCCCTCCGGCCCCTCCTCCCGCCCCCCCCTCCTCGTACCTCTCCCCCTCGCCCGCCCGCCCCCTCCCCCCCGGCGGTCAAAACACGTCCCCCTCGTACCGCCCGCCCCTCTCCCCGGGGAAGGGCTCCCCAGCATCAGGGGGGGGGGGAGCGCCCATGGGGGGAGGGGGGCCGCCACCAGGGCGGTCAAAGGGCGGGGGGCGGTCAAAGCGGTCGGGGGGGAAGGCATAGGGGTCGGGGGGAGGGGGCAGGCGCGCACCCAGACGAGCCGACATGGGCACCGGCGAGTGGCCGTGCCCTCCCCGCTCCCTCTCCCTCTCCCTCTCCCTCTCCCTCTCCCTCTCCTCCCTTCCCCGGACAGGGGCGTTGGGATCGCTGCATGGTGGCAGTGGGGGGAGGGGGGAAAACAAATTAGAGGGGAGACGAAGTGGAGTGAATGGGCAGCAATAGGCAACATGGCGAGACAAGACAGTCACACGCCTCACTTCCAGCGCGCTCACACGTCATTCAGTCCGAGTATTCGAAATGACACACACACTCCCATCTCGCTATCACCTTTCAACCCATTATCCCATACCGTGTCCCCTTGTCACTGCCGCACCCCCTCCTCACCGCACAGCCCTGCTCACCACACACCCTTCCCATTGCATGCCCTTCTCATTGCATGCCCTTCCCATTGCATGCCCTTCTCATTGCATGCCCTTCTCATTGCATGCCCTTCTCATTGCATGCCCTTCTCATTGCATGCCCTTCTCCACCCCCCCCCTCACCACAGGTACTGCTCACCGCATGTAGTTGTCTTCATACACCTCCTCCTTGACGCGGTTGCTCTGTTCCGCCACGAGCTCGGGGTGTTTGAGTTTGAGGTGCTTCACCACGAACTCGGGGCCGTGGAACAGCTTGGAGCACCCGGGGGCGGAGCACCCGTACTTCCACCCGTACTTGTCGTCCTTGATCTTCCTCACCATGCCCTCCATCGCCGCGCCCATGCGCGCCTCCACGCGCGCCTTGCCCACCAGCGCCACCACCGGATCCTCCCCCTCCGCCCCCACGCGCAACCTCCACACCTCATCTACCCGCCGCGCCCACGCCTCAAACCCCTCCACAGCTTCCCCTCCCCCCGCGCCCTCCCACTTGCCCTCGTCGCCCTCGTCTGCGCGCACGTGCCTGAGCCCTTGGGCAGCCCGCGCAGCTCCGAGCCCCCATAGTAGTCGGCGCCGTGCACGCGCCACAGGTACGTCAGCACAGCGTCCAGCAGCGCCACGCCCGCCAGCCACCGCGCCTGCCCTCCGCCCTCCACTGGAGGCACGCGGATCTTCACCTCCTCGTCCTCTGCGCCTGCCTGGTTCTCCCCCAGCAGAAAATTTCCCCCTTCCGCGCCCCCCCCAGCGCCCCCCTGCGCGCCCCAGAGCCCCTTCTCGGCGTCCAGCTTGGCCATGAGCGCCAGCGCCTTCTGCAGGTCGTGCACCACGCGGGCGGGCTGCCCTGCCCCCGCCGGGACGCGCGGGGCGGCAGCGGTGGCGGTGGTGGCATCGTGGGCCAGCGACGGGCGGAAGGAGGCGCTGCGACGGCGCGCGTCCGTGGCTGCTAGCGGGTCACGCGGGTCCGCGTAGGGGCCGCTGGTTGGGGGAGGAGAGGGGTGGTTTGGAGGCGGGGAGGGAGAGCGTGAGGGAAGGCAGGGCAGGGCATGGGGTGGGGTGAGGTGATGGCACGAGACGGGATGGGAGAAACGAGGCGAGAAGGAAGTGCAGCATTGAGGGCGGGAGGGCGAAAGGGAGGGAGGGAGGGAGGGAGGGAGGGAGGGAGGGAGGGAGGAGGGAGGGAGGGAGGGAGGGAGGGAGGGAGGGAGGGAGGGAGGGAGGGAGGGAGGGAGGGAGTGCAACGAGAAGAAACGGCATGAGGGGAGAGCAAGAGAGCGTGAAAAGGAGGGTGCAAGGACAAGAGAGGAGCGTGGCGTGACGTGGCGGTGATGATGGTGTGAGGGATGCCGCACTGACAGGTCGGCATCGCCGCGCTGCAAGCTTTCAAGAAACTGCTTGCTCTCCAGCTGAGCGAACTCAATGCGCCTGATGGGAGGGCACATGCACACAGCAGCACCCACCTCCCCACCCTCACACCCATATCCACACCCACAGCGATACCCACACACCCACACGAGCACCACGGGGCCAGGGAGGTGTGCGGGAGCGATAACACGTCAGGAAAAACGAGTGCAGGGGAAACGGGGAAGGGGAGAGAGGAACGGGGAAACGGGGAAAGGGAAAGGGAGGGGGGAAGTGGAGGGGGGGAAATGGCGGCAGTGGGCATAACAGCGCAACAGTGGCAGAGCGAAAGGTTAACTGGCAGTTTGCAGGGAAGTGAAGTACTGGTACAGCGCTGCTGCAGCGACACAGCATGCATGGCAAGAGCGAGCAGGCAGCGCAGTGCGCTCACCTGTCCACAAGGCTCACCTGTCCACAAGGCTCACCTGTCCACAAGGCTCACCTGTCCACAAGGCTCACCTGTCCACAAGGCTCACCTGTCCACAAGGCTCACCTGTCCACAAGGCTCACCTGTCCACAAGGCTCACCTGTCCACAAGGCTCACCTGTCCACAAGGCTCACCTGTCCACAAGGCTCACCTGTCCACAAGGCTCACCTGTCCACAAGGCTCACCTGTCCACAAGGCTCACCTGTCCACAAGGCTCACCTGTCCACAAGGCTCACCTGTCCACAAGGCTCACCTGTCCACAAGGCTCACCTGTCCACAAGGCTCACCTGTCCACAAGGCTCACCTGTCCACAAGGCTCACCTGTCCACAAGGCTCACCTGTCCACAAGGCTCACCTGTCCACAAGGCTCACCTGTCCACAAGGCTCACCTGTCCACAAGGCTCACCTGTCCACAAGGCTCACCTGTCCACAAGGCTCACCTGTCCACAAGGCTCACCTGTCCACAAGGCTCACCTGTCCACAAGGCTCACCTGTCCACAAGGCTCACCTGTCCACAAGGCTCACCTGTCCACAAGGCTCACCTGTCCACAAGGCTCACCTGTCCACAAGGCTCACCTGTCCACAAGGCTCACCTGTCCACAAGGCTCACCTGTCCACAAGGCTCACCTGTCCACAAGGCTCACCTGTCCACAAGGCTCACCTGTCCACAAGGCTCACCTGTCCACAAGGCTCACCTGTCCACAAGGCTCACCTGTCCACAAGGCTCACCTGTCCACAAGGCTCACCTGTCCACAAGGCTCACCTGTCCACAAGGCTCACCTGTCCACAAGGCTCACCTGTCCACAAGGCTCACCTGTCCACAAGGCTCACCTGTCCACAAGGCTCACCTGTCCACAAGGCTCACCTGTCCACAAGGCTCACCTGTCCACAAGGCTCACCTGTCCACAAGGCTCACCTGTCCACAAGGCTCACCTGTCCACAAGGCTCACCTGTCCACAAGGCTCACCTGTCCACAAGGCTCACCTGTCCACAAGGCTCACCTGTCCACAAGGCTCACCTGTCCACAAGGCTCACCTGTCCACAAGGCTCACCTGTCCACAAGGCTCACCTGTCCACAAGGCTCACCTGTCCACAAGGCTCACCTGTCCACAAGGCTCACCTGTCCACAAGGCTCACCTGTCCACAAGGCTCACCTGTCCACAAGGCTCACCTGTCCACAAGGCTCACCTGTCCACAAGGCTCACCTGTCCACAAGGCTCACCTGTCCACAAGGCTCACCTGTCCACAAGGCTCACCTGTCCACAAGGCTCACCTGTCCACAAGGCTCACCTGTCCACAAGGCTCACCTGTCCACAAGGCTCACCTGTCCACAAGGCTCACCTGTCCACAAGGCTCACCTGTCCACAAGGCTCACCTGTCCACAAGGCTCACCTGTCCACAAGGCTCACCTGTCCACAAGGCTCACCTGTCCACAAGGCTCACCTGTCCACAAGGCTCACCTGTCCACAAGGCTCACCTGTCCACAAGGCTCACCTGTCCACAAGGCTCACCTGTCCACAAGGCTCACCTGTCCACAAGGCTCACCTGTCCACAAGGCTCACCTGTCCACAAGGCTCACCTGTCCACAAGGCTCACCTGTCCACAAGGCTCACCTGTCCACAAGGCTCACCTGTCCACAAGGCTCACCTGTCCACAAGGCTCACCTGTCCACAAGGCTCACCTGTCCACAAGGCTCACCTGTCCACAAGGCTCACCTGTCCACAAGGCTCACCTGTCCACAAGGCTCACCTGTCCACAAGGCTCACCTGTCCACAAGGCTCACCTGTCCACAAGGCTCACCTGTCCACAAGGCTCACCTGTCCACAAGGCTCACCTGTCCACAAGGCTCACCTGTCCACAAGGCTCACCTGTCCACAAGGCTCACCTGTCCACAAGGCTCACCTGTCCACAAGGCTCACCTGTCCACAAGGCTCACCTGTCCACAAGGCTCACCTGTCCACAAGGCTCACCTGTCCACAAGGCTCACCTGTCCACAAGGCTCACCTGTCCACAAGGCTCACCTGTCCACAAGGCTCACCTGTCCACAAGGCTCACCTGTCCACAAGGCTCACCTGTCCACAAGGCTCACCTGTCCACAAGGCTCACCTGTCCACAAGGCTCACCTGTCCACAAGGCTCACCTGTCCACAAGGCTCACCTGTCCACAAGGCTCACCTGTCCACAAGGCTCACCTGTCCACAAGGCTCACCTGTCCACAAGGCTCACCTGTCCACAAGGCTCACCTGTCCACAAGGCTCACCTGTCCACAAGGCTCACCTGTCCACAAGGCTCACCTGTCCACAAGGCTCACCTGTCCACAAGGCTCACCTGTCCACAAGGCTCACCTGTCCACAAGGCTCACCTGTCCACAAGGCTCACCTGTCCACAAGGCTCACCTGTCCACAAGGCTCACCTGTCCACAAGGCTCACCTGTCCACAAGGCTCACCTGTCCACAAGGCTCACCTGTCCACAAGGCTCACCTGTCCACAAGGCTCACCTGTCCACAAGGCTCACCTGTCCACAAGGCTCACCTGTCCACAAGGCTCACCTGTCCACAAGGCTCACCTGTCCACAAGGCTCACCTGTCCACAAGGCTCACCTGTCCACAAGGCTCACCTGTCCACAAGGCTCACCTGTCCACAAGGCTCACCTGTCCACAAGGCTCACCTGTCCACAAGGCTCACCTGTCCACAAGGCTCACCTGTCCACAAGGCTCACCTGTCCACAAGGCTCTCAAGGCGAGCCGGGTCGTACAGGGCTCGTAGCCTGGCAGCCGGCAGAGACACCACAGCACGCACCAGTGAGAAGGGGGGGGTGGGGGGGGGGGAAGTGGGGTGGTGGAGGGCAGGGGGAAGCCAGGGTTGCGATGAGAATAATCCGAGGCGAGACGCAGCAGAAGGATGGTGCAGGTGCGCACTTGTAAGCGAATGATACTCCACCACGAATCTTGTGGCGCGGTTTACCACAAGAGTGCCAGTGATTGCTCTTCCCAGGCATAGCATAGCTGTCACGCCATCTCACCTCGCTTCCCAAGGACTTTTCCCCCCACTTTGACATTCATCTTTCTACACCATTGTTCCGAATGTACCCAAAACAGAAAGATTATGTGGAGATGAGGATCGGATGGGACTGACCACTCGTCGTTCCTGTGGTCGTGGAAGAACGCCTTCTTCTGCGCCGCCACGAACTTGGCCTTGTAGTCCACATACCTGGGGGGAGAGGTGGGAGACGGAGAGGGAGCAGGGTGGAAAGGGGGGAGACGGCAAGCAGTGCAGCGCATGTGAGCCAACAGGGGGTGCAGCAGCAGCAGAGCAGAGGGCAGGGCGCAAGGCATGAGATATATCAGAGAAAGAGCATATGTGCTCGCACCTCTTCTCAGCGTCAGCAGGTGACACGTCATCGTCCAGGTCAGCAATGAACTGCTTGTAGGTGAGCGGCCCGTCAGCTGGCGGTGGCCTGCTGTGACGCACGAGGACACAAGGAGGCACACGGGGGCACACGGGGGCACACGGGGGCACATGGGGGCATGGCGAGCGGTGGCAGTGAGAGAACGATGCAGGCGATGAGGAGGGCAGTGCAGAGCAAGGAGCAGCGAGGCACAGGCGAGTATGATGTGATGATGCATGCACGGGCCAAGCAGCTCTGCCCGCCCGCCAGCACGGCGTGCGGGTGCATTGCACAGCCACTGTCACCCAACCACCCAACCACCCATCCACCCAACCACCCAACCACCCAACCACCCATCCGTCCACCCACCCACCCCACCACGTCACCACGTCACCTGCGGGGAGGCCCGTCAGTGGGCGGGTAGTGCGGCGGGTACATGGGGGGAGGCGGGGGACCGCCGCCACCTGGCAGCATGTCATAGGCTGACGGCCGCCTGTAGCGATCCGCGCCTGGTGGGAGCAGAGGCGGGACGCAGTGAGCGGGCAGCAGGCAGGGGGCATGGCAGCGGGGCTTGGCGGGTAAGGAAGGGAGGAAGGGGCGGGTGGCGCTGTACTTCCATTTTGATACACCCAATGCACGTACGTACCTGGCGGGGGCCCGGGGGGGGCGGGCAGGCGAGCGTAAGGATCGTCGGGGGCGAACGGCGGCATGGCGCGAGGCGCGTCGTAGGGATGCCTGCGGTGGGGCGGGAAGGGAAGCAAGACGGCGAAAGGGGTGAGTACGGGAGGGCACAGGCGAGCAAAGGCGACGACGATGATGGCTGGCAGAAGGGAGATGAGCGGGGACGACGCGCATGGACTGGCGGGGAACGCGCATGGAGTGGCGGGAAACGCGCATGGAGTGGCGGGAAACGCGCATGGAGTGGCGGGAAACGCGCATGGAGTGGCGGGAAACGCGCATGGAGTGGCGGGGACGCGCATGGAGCGGAAGGCAAGGGAAACACATGCGAGGCAGCGAGGGGAGATGCAATGCAGTGCGCGAAGCAGGAGAAAAACAACCGACTTGCCTCCAGCAGACGAGTAGCCGCCACTGGCAGCAACACCACCATCAACAACAGCCGCGCCGCGTTGCTCGCTCGGTGCGAAGGTGGCCACTTGCAGCACTGACAGTGCGCTACTCTTAGTCTGCTCGCTACTCCTACAGCACGAGACTTGCTGGGCGCGCTACCAGTACGATGCTCTGAGCTACTCCTAATCGACAAAAAAAACTTTACGGGCGCGATGCGAGAGGGACGCGCCTGATCGGCTGAGAGGCGAGGGGGGACGGACGGCGTCAAGGCCATGAGCGAGAGGTGAAAGGTGAGAGGTGGGCGTCCGGCAGAGGGCGATGCTCGATGCACTGAGAATGAATGCTACTAAGACTGGAGGATGAAAGAATAACGCGAGATCACTCGGGGGCCAACGGACAATTATGCTCCTACGCCGCGGCACGCGGAGCGTCTCGCAACGGAGCGTGTGGCAGCGGAGTCCTGCAAGAAGCAAGCAGCGAGCCAGGCGCTTCCACTCCGACCACCGCCCTCCCGCGTGGTCCCCCCGGAGCGACGAATCAGTCGCTAAGTGACTCGAAAAACCGGATAGCAACGAGCGGCGGCGAAGCAGAGACGAAGCACAGCGCGGGTCAGAGCGGTGCGGCGGCAGTGCGACTGGCGGCTAAGCAGCTTGAAGGAAAGAAATAAGAAATAAATAAAAATTTCACGACGGGGACAGGGAGGCTAACCTTTTCGAGGGGGAGCCGTATCGCGGGGATGGCCGCCGCGGACTCGCGCTCCGCCGCCTCTTGTAGTCGCGCTCGCGCTCCCTCTCGCGCTCCCGATCCCTTTCCCTCTCCCGATCTCTATCTCTTTCCCTGTCCCTATCCCTATCTCTATCCCTGTCCCTGTCTCTGTCCCGATCGCGATCTCTGGCGCGCTCCTCGTGGCGGCGGTCGTGCGAGTCGCTGCGGCGACGGTCGCGGTCGTCGCCTCGCCCGCCTCGGTCGTCCCTCGGGCGCGACGAGCTCCTCTCCCGCGACCGACCCCGATCGCGATCGCGCTTCCGATCTGACGACCCCGCTCGCCGCTCCGCATCGGGTGGTGGGGAAGTCCCAGACGCCATTTTCCGATATTGAGCCAACAACGGAGGAGGAAAAAAAATGATGAACCGAGTCGACAACGGTAATGTGATGGCGGGAGGTGGTTGTGTTGTGTGTGGGGCGAGCAACAGCGACAAGGGTTTGGTTCGAAAACTGAGCTCAGGGCGTGTTACATTTTCTACTTTCGCCCGTCCGGACGGGCCTCCGTCCGGAAAATTTTCTGGTTAGCATTTTCGAGAAAACTCGTTTGAGAGCTCGCAAGTATTCTGGCGACGTCGTTAATGATCGGACATCGGGTAACATTTTGCATAATTTGCCATTCCCAGTCGTCCGGACAATTACCGTCTGATAAACGGACAGACGTAACAGTAACGCTATTTCACTGGTGCACGAACACAAGTTTCTGAGTCGCTTGATTGTTACCTAAGTCGCAAAAGCGTCGTAGTCATGGTTACATTTTCGCGAATAATTTTATTGTCGCTGATATGAAGAAGTGTCAGAAACAGCGTGCTGACGAGGCTCTGTCCGGACGCTGGACTCGGACCGTCCAAAGTTTGGATCCGAACGTTTTCCGGACGATTGTCTGGACGTTTTCATAATTAAAAAAATGTAATTCGCCCTAAGAGCGTGTATTGTATCGACCGAGCCTAAAACCCGACCAAATGGTTGGGTCATGCGGATGCGAAATGTGTAACGCTTTCACGAACCCCGCCATACATTTCGCGAGCTGTGGGGCACCCACCCTGAAAAACCCCTGTAATTAGAATTAAAGGATTAATCCAAGTTTCAGCATTCGAACGGGGCGTTAAATATACGGGGCACAGACAGTATTGAGCAAGTTCATAGTGCCCCGAAAAAATTTATCCCCTCCCTGGATAAGAGTAGTACAAGTCGCGAAAGTCGGAGATCCAAAATTAAATGAAAATCCCTCCGAAATTTTTCCTAAAGTCAGAGTGACTACCACGTAATGCTAATCAGTGGGTGTAACCCCAAATAGTTCGCAATCGACAGAACCGCCCAATTGTCGTTTTTTTAGGTTGGTCGGTACAATGTTATGAGTTGTACTAAAAGAGTGTGCGAAATATTTTAAAATGAGAACGCGATGACAAAATGAAGATACAATGAAAAGAGCAAGTATGTAAGGAATTTTCACGAATTCCTTATCGGGGTTAACTATTTCGCGTACAGCCCCGATTTTCGGACGCTGCACATTCGGCCGATATCAACGCTGCTGAGGCTCCTCGCGTCGCCTTCGGCTTTTCCCTTCGCCAAACCTGCACCCAACCTCGCCCACCCGAGGTTCCCTCCTAGCTAGGCTAGCCCCTACATTAGTGTGTGCCTTCATAGTATTCTCAGTTCGTTCAATTACGGTCTCGTTATTCGTTTACGTGCGCACTCTCTCTTACAACTCATAACACATGGTATCAGAGCTACTTTCCTAGTTCACCCCGCTTTCTGAGGGAAGTTTGATGGCACGGGTGTGGCTGGTCTAGTGACTACACGACGGTTGGCCGCAAGGTTTGTTAATTCAATCCTGTCCGACTCTGATAGTTCGTGTTTTCATTTACCTGAAGGCCACGGGTACCCGATTTCCCACCAGACGTAGCGCGAGGCACATGGATCAGGAGGCAGTCAACAGGCTGCTGGCGCAAGTGGCAGAAATGCAGAAAGGCATGGACTCATGAATGGCGGAAGTGACAACTTTACGAGAAGAAAACGCCGAGCTACGCCAGACGCGAGGTGAAGCGCGTCAGGAGTCGCCCGATGATGAAGGCGAGGGCAACAGTCAGGCGGTGAGCAACCCGTTGGACGCAATCACATGTCACTTCGAAGAAGAAGATAGGCAGCGAGCGGCAGCAGTGCCAATTGCAGTAACGACGATCAAGATTAAACCCGTCAACCCGCCCCCGTTCAACCCTACGGACAAGACGACTACAGTGAAGGGGTGGCTGTTCAGTGTTGAAGTCTTCTTCACTGCAGCAGGCGTTAACGACGATGCCACGCGTATTAATTACGCGGTTTCGCTTCTTCGAGGCGCAGCGCTTGAATGGTGGCGCCGAACCTTGGAAACATGGGCACCAACAAGTGTGACACATGTGTCAGAATATTATGCTCTAGCCTGTAGTGGGGTGCTCTGTAGCGAGTACAACTCTTCTAGGGTTTGCTATTTGTATCCCCATTCTTGCTAGTGCAATCCCCCTCTTTCGCCTAAACTCTCTTGCCTAGCTAGGACTCTCCTAGCTATGGCTCCTAAGACTACCGCTTATCTCAACATGGCATCAGAGCTTAACGTTCCTGGCCTGTGGGCCCACTTCACTGCTTCCGCTGCTACTGCTACTCCCTGTCCGCCGCGCGCCCCGTGGTGCGCGGCGTCGAAACTAGGGTTTTCAGCCCGCCGTGCGCCCCGAGGCGCGCGGCGGTTTTCTGCCCGCCGTGCGCCCCGAGGCGCGCGGCGGTTCTCTGCCCGCCGTGTGCCCCGAGGCGCGCGACGGGTTCCTGCCCCGTCACTCGGCACGTCGCCCCCGGGAGGCGCTGCGACGGGCGACGGGGACCCGCGCGTCGCCCCCCGTCGCCCGTCGTGGCCTGCACGCGGCCCGTACGGGCTGCGCCAGGCCCGCGCGCGGCCCGTACGGGCTGCGCCAGGCACGCGCGCGGCCCGTACGGGCTGCGCCAGGCCCGCGCGCGGCTCGGACCGCCTGCGCGCGGTTCGGGAGGCGGTGCCAGGCCCGTGGGCGGCCCGTTCTTCGCTTCCCCTGTCCTCCCCGCTGTCCCCCGTGCTTCTGAAGGCGCCCCACCCCTCCTTCTGCCCGTTCTCCTGGATTAGGGTTTGGGGTTGGGGGGTATGGGGGTGCAGCTTCTGTGTGCCGTTCCCTGCTCCTCCTCCTCCTCCGTCTCCCTGTGCTGCAGCTGCCGCTGAGGGGGGTGGACCTGTTGGAGCCGTCGGAGTGGTACTAAGGGGGGGGTGAAGGGGGAGTGGAGCTAGCGGTGTAGCAGCGGGTGTGTGTCGAGGGGTGTGGGACTGTTGGGGGAGGTTGAGGGGAGGTTGCCGTCGTGTCGTACGCAGCGCCTGTACTCCGGGGCACTCACTCCCGGTAGCTCAGAGAGCCGGTTGCGCCGTCGCCTGTGGGTCCGTTGCTCCTGCTGCTCGTCTTAGCCGCGGAGCCTGTTACTCCTGTACTCCGGGGCACTCACTCCCGGTAGCCACTGTGTCGCACCAGAGCCGTCTGTTGCCCGTGTGCCTGCAGCTTCAGTCGTCGCCTCCCATCTACTCTCCTCTCGCCAGCCCTCCTCCTCCTCACTTGCCCGTTGTGACTACCACTAGCTTTGCCCATAATTGTGAACTTTAAACTATTGCTTCTTAAACTTGTGCTCAGAATGTATGGTGACATTGTGATCCACCCTGAGCTTGTACTGCTTTGCTTGCTCTGCTGATTACACCCCACTTTGGCTATGGGGGTGTGTCAGAATATTATGCTCTAGCCTGTAGTGGGGTGCTCTGTAGCGAGTACAACTCTTCTAGGGTTTGCTATTTGTATCCCCATTCTTGCTAGTGCAATCCCTCTCTTTTGCCTAAACTCTCTTGCCTAGCTAGGACTCTCCTAGCT